AGTTCATAAGTGCAGGAGCTTAACGACAACCAATATACTATTGGGAGAAATTCCCCGGATCTAGACTTCCCCGTACGCGCCCGTATCGACAAAACCAATAATCATGCATCGAATGAGTTAAACAATGCAAGCATTAAGCAAAGAGGAAAAACCCTAACTAATGATGAAAGAAAGCATAAATCTTAGATTAAGATGCAAGCATAAATTCCATATATGAGAGCTTCAAGAGATTACATTGATTCCCCAACAAACATACAAGGTTTAGTTCACCATATTCATGGTGAACCTAGATGAACAATGAAAGAATGAAAGAATAAACCCTAAAAAGGTGAAGAGGTAGCCTGAGCATCCAAGAAGAAGGGTGTATCCTCAAAAAAGGTGACATCAGAAGACATATAATACCTTCTTGTGGAGGGAGAATAACATCTATATCCTTTTTGAACGCGAGAATATCCCAAAAAGACACATTTAATAGACTTGGGAGAAAGTTTATCAAGACCTGGAGAAACATTATGGACAAAACATGTACACCCAAATACACGTGGGGGAAGATGATATAGGGCGTCATTTGGAAAAATGACAAAATAAGGAACTTTATTCTCAAGAGAGGAAGACGACATCCTATTGATTTGAAAATAGGCAGTGAGGATTGCATCCCCCAATGATGAACAGGAACATTAGTATTTAACATCAGGGAACGTGTTGTTTCAATGAGATGTCTATTCTTCCTCTCAACTATGTCATTTTGTTGTGGAGTGTGAGGACATGTTGACTGATGTAAAATTCTTTTGGAAGATAAAAATGAAGAAAATGCAACAGAAAAATATTCCTTAGCATTATCACTTCTGAGAGTTTTAATTGTCTTTCCAAATTGATTCTGAATTTCATTAACAAAGGACATAAAAATGACTAAAAGTTCAGATCTCTCTTTCATAAGATAAACCCAAGTACAACGAGAAAATTCATCAATGAAGGTTACAAAATAGTTAAAACCAAAGGAAGTAACTCGACTCGGTCCCCAAATATCAGAGTGAATGGTAGAAAAAATAGACTTACATAGTGTCTCAAATTTCTTTGGATAAGAAGATCTAACATGTTTTCCAAACTGACAAGACTCACAATCTAAGACAGGAATGTGTTTAAGACTTGGAACCATCAACTTCAGCTTAGACAAAATTGGGTGACCCAAACGATCATGTAAAATTTTAGGAGATGAAGTTGAAATGCAGGAAACAAAAGAGTTAGGTTTTAGGAAATACAGTCCTCCTGACTCATATCCTTCTCCAATTCGACGACCCGTACCATGTTCCTGTATGACAAAGGAAGTAGCAGTAAAGGTTATAGAACAATTAAATGAACGTGTCAATTGACTCACGGACATTAAGTTATAAGGACAATGAGGAATATACAAAACAGAATTTAAGTTTAATGAAGGAGATAAAGACACTTTGCCAATTCCTTGAGATGTCAATTTGGATCCATTGGCAATTGTAACTAACTAAGGAACTTTTTGAGAGGTAATGGAGAAAAACAAACGAGTGTTACCAGACAAATGATTTGAGGCACCTGAATCAAGAATCCATGATTCCGCAGATTGTGAGATACGTGCACTTGACACACTTGGCACTGAAGGAAACTGACAACGGCCAGTAGATTTTTCAGACTTGTATCTCAAAAATTCTTCATACTCTTCATTTGAGCATTGCACATACCCACTTCTATTACCATGGCAACCTCCATTAGCTCCGCTCCTTGAAGTGGCAGATAAGGAGAAATTAGTTTTAGTAAAAGATGTCATTCTAAATTTGTGAGTAGGATCCAAAACCAAGACAAGGTCTTATGACTATGGGAAATCAGAATCCTTGAAGCTCATCAACAACGGTACACTGTGAAATTTAGGGGAGAAAACCCTAGGTGCAAACAACAACTACCAAAACAGCGAAGCAAGGGCCAAAACACGCTCAGGAAGCTACGGCGAAACTATATGCAGTGGCACAATGTCAATCCAACAAAGAGAAGGAGGCGCGTGAGGAACACGCGCCGGAAACTTGCTGGAGACCGTGGCGCATAAGGAACACGTGCCGGAAAGTTGCTACAGACAAGTGGCGCGTGAAGAGGAGTCTGCTCTTAACTCCGACGAGGTTGGCCGTCGCTTGGTCACCGGTCGAAACCGTGACGGTGGTCGGACGGTGACCGACGTAGATAGGAGAGAAGCGGCGTGTGGAGGAGCGTGTGGAGGTTTCTGAGGAAGCGGCCACCAGGGTTGGGTCACGCTTCTCTGGGCGAACCAAACCCTCAACTTTGCCTGGCAAACGGCAACGACGGACGACGGCGATAGCATCGACGGCGGCGGAAAGCGGCAGCGACAGCAGTGGCACACTGGGTCTGGCTCTGATATCATGTTAGAATACTAAGACATTTTTATTCATATGTGAAAGAGAGTGGTTAACAAGGTTATGGTATTCTATATATATATATATATATATATATATATATATATATATATATATATATATATATATATATATATATAATACCATGACATAATACAATGACACAATACAACCCTCTTCTTAAGTTGAGTATACACTCACAAAACAACATAAAACAACAACATAAACTTAATACATTTCAACAAAAGTTGATATTTTTGTCACAAAAGTTGATAATGAATATAGCTAATTTACCAAAGTTTCAGTTCCTACTTCAATCTCTAATATAGGATCTTATGAATTTGATCACTTAAATTTTGTAGAAAGCAGTATTCCTTTATATTATACTAGTATACAGATATAATAAAACAGAATATAGCTTGAATATAAGCACTTACCCATAAACCAAAACATTGATGTAATAAATGTAAATTTAATAAGAGTAATATAACGAAAAATTATCAAATTGTTTATTTCTTAATTTTATTAAAATGGATAACTTTCAAAAAAATAATACTAATATGAAAGGTCATATTTACATTATACTATTTCATTGTTCATACGTCTTTCTGATAAACATGGTGACACACAGCAAAGGATAAACAAGAAACACTAGCATACCAAGAATGATGTTTAACAGAAACATTTGCATCCATTAATCTTTAGAGTTATATATGTATACACTGGCTCATACTGTTGACACAAAAATAAATTCTTTGATGTGTCTTTGTAGCAAAAGTGGCAACCATCTGATACACCTATGATTGAATGTTCACATCCGAGGTCTCTGGCTGGATTTGAGCTTCGACCTGAACCTGGGAAAGATCAGTGGCCGAGTCTGGTTGAACGGCCGCCGGTGGTTCTGCCTCACTACGCACGGACACTTCAGTAATCTCCGGTGGCTTGAACTTGTTGATGTAGTAAGTAAGTGATGGCCCTGTGTATTCAGTTGGCTGGATCTGAGGAGGAGCATTCTTACCAACTTGTAAGAGTATTGAGGATGCTGCAGCAACTGAGATCAGGGCAAGGCCTGCAACAATTGCTGCAGTGTTCTCAGCTCCATCAGAAGAAGAGCCAGCACTTCCTGAACTTATAGCACTTTCTGCCACATAAACTGCTGGCTGAAAAGATCACAAGGTGTTAGACAAATTGAATCATCATATTTCTCTTTGTTTTCAAGTTCAAAACAAGCAAGCTTATGCTGACATGTGTTAGAGATCTCAAATGAGTTACTAATGTGGATTAAATAGTCCTGTACAAGAAAAGTATGGCCGAATCCCTTACAAATAAAAAATAGTAGAAGACATAACAGTTCAAAGCAAGCAAGCAAGCCGAAATTGAGTTGGTCCTCTCAAAGGCTTCCCATTCATTCAAATCATTCTAAACCTAAGTCATACTTATGAGAATAATTAGGTTTATAAGTATTTAAGTATTGGTAAAGCCTTTCAGTTGGCCAAGTAGATCTTGGCCTACTCATTTTGGACCATTATGTCTTCTAATATCTTGAAGGGTATTCTACCATATCTGTTTGAAGTATAACTGAAGACAATTCTTACTTTACAAGTTAGTTTTTGAGGTTGAGTTTGACTTAAACTCAAATTCTAAAACCATGAATTCTTCAATTTGACACAAGATAGCAATACCAATGACTAGCCTCAGAATTCATTTATAACACTAGCAATGTATGCATGATTGCCCCAAATAATAGTCCCTTATCAGCTATCATGTTACTAATGTTTGCTACTCATTTTCATGCTTACAAAATGAACATTAAACTTCAACAAATTAAAGAATAATATACATAAAAAGTTCAAGGGAACATGGTAAAACATTGCATGCCTTTAATAAGTCAAGAAAGATCAATACTAACCTCAACAGAGTAAATGTTTGTCTGCCCAGCAGTGTCCTTTTCAACATATCCGGTCCAACCCGGCTTACGACGTGGTGGGAAAGTACCAACTACCTTTGTCTTCTCTCCGGCTAGCCATTCCACACTGACCTTTCCAACCTAAATCACCACCAACGGAGGATTGATTAACTTCCTTTGTCTGTGATGAATGCAGAAGCTAAACACACATGGAGGATAATGATACAGCACTCATCTTTTGTTAATGCATGAATATATATATATATGCAGGATACTTCAATTACAAAGCCTGGCCAAAGATGATATGGTATAATATTGGAACATACTAATGATTAGGTGAAACAATGGTGCAAATTTTACTAACACACAATGATATAATGTCTTTCAATTCTGCTAATTACCCAGAACAGTGGTTCTTGAGACAGCTTTTATAAAATGCCTCCTTTTTTTCACAGAATTTGCATTGAGCACAAAAAACAAAATTCTGTAACTAGAGAACGAACTGTTGGAACTATGTTTGAACATCAAAAAGGATAAGAACACAACATCCAGGTAGTAAGCTATATAAGAAATGTCAATGACAAATTGGTCAAAATAAAAATATGCATATAAAAAACTTTGAAGCTAACTTAACTTACTGCTCAATGTAAGTGGGGTGTTCCTTGCATAGATCTAATGATAATGACCATTTTCCTCATCATTCCAGCCACAACAACAAATTATGATAACATTTCTCAAACACCTCCTTAAATTGACCAAAAGTCCATCCCTGAGCTGAAAAGCATTATTGTGAACTATACTGGCACTAGAGATGGTTAGGTTTTTCGAGGAAAGACATTGGAGAGATTCAACACCAATTAAACGTGAACAAGCTCATATAAGAAACCATGACACCAATTTTAACCCAAAACCTTAAGGTAATGGGTTTTTGGATCTTTTATGTTATTTATCTTGATCATTTTTACCAAACATGAGACTTTCATCTCATCTTGAATTCCTAAGATATTTTATCATATTACACATACCAAGCTTCCTTTTTCCATTCAACGTTAACCTCTTTAACTGTTAGATTCTTCCAGGGAGACATAAAGAGATTTGACACCAATAAATGTAAACAAACCCATATATAAGAGATTCAACAATGAGTTTGTGGTGTTTTTCTGCTTCTATTAGCTCATCATTATTGTCTATCCAATGTGGGAATTCTAAGTCAACTTGAAATCCTAACAGTTATGACCCTTAAATTGATCAAAACAAATGAGCACGAGTCAAATTCTTCTTCTTCCAACTTCTTCCAAAGGATCTTTATGGAGAACAACAATGTGCCAAGACATGTAAATGTAATTATAGAACTAAAAGAACTTATTTCTCATTATTACATTTCCAAATTTTTCACTATCATGTTTTCCCTCGTCACCAAAAGAGCACAAGAAACAAAACGAATGGAACAAAACACCTAAGAAACTCGAAACTGATTAAGAAAACTAAAGAACTCACTTCCTTTTCCGGGGCACATTCTTCGTCATTGCAGTCAGAGTCATCAGAGTCAGCTCTAACAGTGAACAAATCAAACCTTCTCTTACTGGTTTTTGGATGCTTCAAGGAGAATCTCCTGGAAGAAAAGGCACAGCTGTTTGCTGCTAAAGTTGCATGAAATGCACAAGCCATTATTTGGGTCTGAAATTGAAGTTCAAAACCAAAATGCTCTCGAGAAAAACAAAAACAACAAAAGGGTTCTTAGAAATTTAGGATTTTGAAGAAGATCTTGGAGTTATGGTTTAGTGGGTGAAACCTAAGAGAATTTTGTGTGTTGAGGATTGGTGTTTCGTGGTTGTGTTTAAGCCTTGAAGGTAGACAATTTGATTGGGATATGCCATGTGTGGACACATGGAAAGTACTTGTGTTGTTGGGAAAATATCTTATGGAAACAGTTGCAGCTCATAAAAAATGTTCTTGTTAAACAATTAGTTAAAAAGTTTTTTTTTAAGTAATTTGTATATCAAGAAAAAAATAATGTATAGTTGTTTATTGTAAGATAAAATGTATATATTTAATTAAAAATAATGAACATGAAAAGATAAATTGTATTTTTAACTGAGAGATGTTATTTTCATAAAATAATGAACATATAATTAATATTTTTTATTAATGTAAAATAGCGTGTTTGTTTCGATGTTTGTTTCGAGTTTTGCACATTGATTAACAATTATTATGTTAATTGAAACATCCCAAAATATAGTATAATTATATAATAGAGTTATCATATAATATGATACATAATATGATACAATAGATCGGTTAACTACTAATAAAATAAAGTATTAACAGTATAATTATCTAAAAATAACCATAAAATTAAAACTTTACAAAGAATGCATAATCAGGGACTATTAACGCTATCGATCGATCCAAAATCACATCTTCTAATGACCGATCGGTCCTAATTTATACTGTTGGGTTCTCTCCATTCAACGCCTGCTCCACCGAAACTTCACAATCCTCTGCTCACATCCACCGGATGATCATTGCATAGAAGAATACACCGAACGACAACATAACAACACATAAAATAAGGGTAAGCTAAAGAAATAATAAAATCATTTTAACATACAATTCAAAACACTCCAAAGCATATAAAATAATTAAAGACAAGTAGAAAAACATATATAACATTAACCGACCACTTTAACCGATCGTCCGGACTGATATGAATATGTAGCTTTGGTCGTTCGTGCACTCGTGGGTGTAGTAACTGAAAACCCATCAGCTATCACGCGAGGTTAACCCCACTAATACAAAAACAGCGCATAATGGCACGCGTTTAACGTCTAACCACTGAATAGCCAACGTCTGTAAATAAATGCAATTATTAAACGTTGTTTGAATTGTAATTCGACGTAAAAGGATATAAAACGTCGAATGCCCCAGTGTTAGACGTCAAAAGGTTTGTGAATTCAATAAAAATTTGAGCGGGAGATTGAAAATTCATTCACTTTATCTTAATGCACGAGACTCTCTTCTCTTCTCAAACTTTTCTCGAACAAAGTTTGACGACCATAACATGTAATCTTTCTTTCACTTGATACAAATGCATTTTATTTATAATTTTCATTATTTTTGACCGATTATTTTTGTGCTTTTGTTCTTCATAGACGCATTTTGTTTTCTCTATCACCCTGGTGACGACACTTTATTCTGATAAACATACCCTTTAAAGGTTAGTTTTCGTTTTTGTTTTGAAGAACTTATTTATTGAACTTGTTTTGTTTTTTGTTGAACTTGTTTGTTGTTGTTTGGTTGAATTTGTTTATTGTTATTGTTTGATTGAACATATTTGTTGTTGGTTATTGTTATTTGTTGATGATACTACGTTCATACTTCTTACTTTATAAAATACCAAAAACTGAAATTTGTTGTTTTTCTACTTTTCAGGTCTCGTAGAGTTGTAAAAAAGGATCACAATTAATTAAAAAAATTGATTAAGTTAACGTCATATATTTACAAGATTCAAGGTTAGTTTGACGTCGAATTTAAAAAGTTTGACGTCAATTTAACGTCTCCTGATATGACGTTGTTCGCAAATTAGTCATTAAAAGCCCAAAATATTTGACGTTGTACGCGATTTTTATATTAGTGTCTGTTATTACTCACCATAGGACCCCCTCCTCGACTAGGGCCTCCTGCTATTCTCACGACATGACTTACCCATCTCTACTTGAGAATTGGTAATCATCATAATGTCAAGATGAATGCCATAGATTTCGCTATCCATATTCATACTATGACAACACTCTTGCTTATCAAATCATTGAGACATTCCTCCTTGGAATTTTTTTTTACATTAGTTGAAACATCATACCTTCTTCAAACATTAATACAATTTCTCATATGCAGTAGATCAATACAACTATCTCAACCCATCAAAGTCAAAAAGTGATAATAGCATTTAAAGACCAAATATTCATTCATAGCAGAAAATCGAACGTAAACAACACAAACTCAGAGTACAGCCGAACGAAAAAATCGACAAACCTTGTGAACAAAATCGAACAGTAAAACAATCCCCATATGAGAACATGACCAAACGGTCATGTAAAGAATAAGACCCAAACAGAAGTCGGACAATATTGGCTTAGACAGAACACTAGTATTTAGGCCGAACACTATTAACTTAGTACAGATATGATATTGAGCACTGGTATAAGAACGAGCGCTCATAAGAGACCACATAACCCAATAATATCGATCACTAACACTATCCTAAATACTAGTACAACTCCAAGCACTATATCGAACGAACGTTGGTCTAAGACCGAGAATTTACCAAGAACGAGCGCTAGTACAAGACCGAGCACTACTGAGACCGAGTGGTAGTACAAGACCGAGTGCTAGTACAAGACCGAACACTACCGAGACCGAGTGTTAGTACAAGACCGAGCACTACCAAGATAGTACATGACCTAGCGGTCAATAACAGTTAAAACCTATGATAGACCGAACGATGTTTAAAATCAAATGTTATGTCTAGACCGACTGCTATATTCACTTGAATATCAATACGAGACCGAGCGGTCATTAACTAAGAATCTACAAAAGTAGAACTCAGTTAAGACCGAGCACCAATACAAACCGAGTACTACCAAAAACGAGTGCTAACACATAGTACTATTATTAACGAACGCCAAACCTATTACGACTAATAACAAACGACAATACCCACCCTGAGACTGTCAATATTAATCTGAGCAACACTTAACCAGATTATCACTACGAACTCGAATACCATTTAAACTCGATTACAAGACCAGACCGATCGTTCTATACCGATCGCTCTATTTTCTACAAAACTTTCAGAACCTCTCAACCACCTCTCAGGTTTCGTCCAAACACATAATATTGCATACAATTCCATCAAACATACAATTATTCATACATGCACATGTTCAAACAAAGATTCCAACTACAGAAAAACATAATTTAATTACTAGCTTCCCTTACCTCTTAACTGGACAGAGAACTTTAAGTGAAGAAACTTGCTCACCACAAAAAGTCTTAGAAACCTAAGGTTCACTGATTTGTGAAAATAGACCAACCACAAGACCAGAAATGTGATCAGAATTTAATAGAAGAGGTAATAAACTCATACAACCAGAAACTTGGTTTGCATGTGTCGGAAAACAAACGTTCTAAGAAGAGGATGAACTTACCAGCTCAAAACAACAACTTGATCGGTGCAAAGTGAAGCCCTTGACACCAAGAAGACTCAGGCGTTGCTTGATTAATGATCAAAAAAAGAAGAAAGTGAAACTTTGTAGAAAGAAGGAAGAGAATTGTAGAGAGAAGGAGGAGAATATGAACTCAAAAACTTAGAGAGAAGAAGTGTATGCAGAGTAGAGTGGCACGAAATTTGAAAAGTTTCCTTATATACTACCGTCAAAACTGATCGGTCACTCCGTTACACACACCTAGCTTCCACTTTCTGAATTTTCTGAATCCTTACACCTACACCTGGCTTCCACTCACTATCGAAATTAAGGGTTTTTACATTACTAACTATTTTTTACACAAATCTTAAACGTGTGGTATAAAAGGCTCACTAAATTTGAAAATTTATATTTATATTTAGTATTTATTTAAAATATATTTACAAAATTAAAATTAATTTTTTAAAATATTAGTAATATGAAAAGATAAATTGTATTTTTAATTGAGAGATGTTATTTTCAGAAAATAACAAACATATACTTAAATTTATTATAATATGTTATTTCTTCACGTAATAACAACTATTTAGTATCTATACGAAATATATAAGTTTAAAAATTATAAATTTATAATTATTTAACTTTGGAATATTCATTTTGTCAAGTGTGAATACTATGTTTATATATAGGCTTAATAACCTCTTTTGTCCCTAGTTATGCTCGGTTGTGTCAATTTGGTCATTGGTTTTAAAAGAGTGTCTATTTGCTCCTGATTTAATAAATTTTGTGTCAACATTATCCCTTCCGTTAAAAGACACTAACGGTGTTAATGAATTGATGATATGGCAGTATAAATTAGTAACGTGTCAATTTTAAGTTGCCTGCGTGATGACGTGGTAAGCAATGAAAGGTCGAGGTGGATTTTACACATTGAGATTTAGAATTTGGGGAAGAATTGAGTTTGGACACAGGGCGTTGAGGTTCACTGGTGCTCCTGCAAGATCTTTTCCACGCAGACCACGCCGCTGCTGCCATCGCCTGCGACAACACCTTGATTGGGGCCCGACGGGGGTCTTGACCTCATCATAGACGACGGTGGTGACGCCACCCTCCTCATCCACGAGGGTGTCAAGGCCGAGGAGCTCTATGAGAAAATCAACATGTTCCCCGACCCCACTTCCACTGGCAATGCCGAGTTCCAAATCGTGCTTACCATCATCAGAGATGGGTTGAAGACCAACCCCACCAAGTACCACAAGATCAAGGTGCGTATTGTTGGGGTTTCTGAATAGACTACCACTGGTGTGAAGAGGCTGTATCAGATGCAGGCCAGTGGGACTCTTTTGCTCTTTGTTGTTAATGTGAATGACTCTATCACCAAGAGCAAGGTATTGTTCATTTTCGTTTTTTTTCATATCTGTTACTTTTCTAGTGTTTAGACGTTGAGCTCGAAGTAGATCTCTCTGTTTTAATGGATTTGTGGCATGGTGGCCTGTTGCGAGGTCATGGTGGCGCTAGGAAAAGCTTATGGGTCTCGCAATGGTGGCGGTGCGAATTGGGATGGTGCAAGGGTTGTTTGATCTGCACAAATTGGGAGTTTGAAAATTGGGAATTTTTCTGGGTCTTAATCGCGATGAAGAAGATGATGTTGTTGGTGGTGATTTGGGTTGCACG